CATTCGATCAGTTGATCTCATTCTTCCAGGGTCACAGTGGCACGGTCGCCGGCTTGGCCTTCACCGAAGACGCTGCACGGTTGGCATCGTCCTGAAGCTCAGAATTGATTATTTGGTTAGGTGGTTGGCCTCGCATCGCGTGCGTACGGTTCCTGGATTTGCAAAGTTAAGTTATTGCAATAGCCGAGCGCATCACCCTAAGAACACAACACCTGCGTCATCACCTCTGTCAGGAAGAAATTGCATAAAGGAGCAACGAACAGAGAGATTTTGGAATCTATGTTTGCAGGTATGGAAGCCAAGACTCCACCGTGCGTTTGTGGCAGACTGGAGGAGGTTGGCTTCAGAGGAGAGTCTTCCTTCGCATTGTGATCGTAAAGACAGAATTAGCCTACATCATCTCACAACTCGAGCAATCTCTATGAAGCTTGATTACATTATTTTGAGCTGGAAGAGTGGCCTCTCCATCGTAGCCATAGAGTCAGTTTCTGTGACTAGTAGGAGGCCATTGCTATTAGGTTGGAGGCCATCGCTATATAGGTTGGAGGTTGAACACAAATCTTGAGTCAGTTTCTTTTCCACGGAGGCTTTCTTGGCCTCATGGGTCAGAACCACCGGTGCATCCGCCAACATACTTTGCCACCGCTGCATGGCACTGGAGATTGGAGGCGAACATGTTTGAAGGTTTGGAGTTTGGAGGGATTGATTCCACATCAAAAGAATCGATATGTCAACTACCTAGCGGAACAAGAGACATCCGTCAGCTAGTCGTGGTCAAACACCCAACACGACCGCCAGGGCTGTCTCCCTCCGGTGCTCCGAGCGGGGTGTGAAGCTGGTTCGGGAGAATGGCCGCTCAGAGGCAAACAGAGAGTCGCGAACATTGCTCCTAGTAGTACGGCCAGGAGACCCTAGTAGCTTCTTGTTCCTAGTAGCGATGCCAGGAGCCCCTAGTAACGTCCTTGCTCCTGGTAGCGATGCCAGGAGCCCCTAGCAGTCGCTCCTTTCTCCGAAGTCAATGCAATTCAGGTGACATGCTTCACCTTGGCCTGGGATGAGTGCGACGGTCTGCTCCCCAGACGTTCGCTTATTCCTTCTTATGTTTTGGGATTTAGGAATAGTATTTTGGATACATTGCTTCTGTTGTACCGACGTTATTGACTTCGAATAAACGATCCAACGGTGACTGGAATTGCATTGAAGGTCGGTAGTAGTCACAGACGAGGAGGATTGAGGTGAGGGTTAGTATGTTACTCACTAGGAGCAAGGACGCTACTAGGGGCTCCAAGTGTGATGTCACCGGACGATCGACTACTTACCCATGATGAGGTTCAGAAAGACATCAGTTTTGCATCAGATCCCATTCAACTCCACTACGGCCCGTGGCATGTCCAGGACTCTCAAAGTTGCTGTTGATGTATCGACTTGGGACTTCATCTTAACTTTGCATATTGTAGACTGCACTCTTGATTCCATTAGCAATGTGGATGAAGGAAATGATGCCTGTTCTGTCGGAAACTCAGAGTAGCGTCACCCGGGATTCTAGTCGTACCTCATTTAAGCACTTCAAGTCATTGACCTTGGGCAATCTTGAGGTTTTAAACCGCCTTAAGCTTAACATATGGAATTATTGTAGATGGTGGACTTGGTGCTACGTTTGCAGGAAAGCAACTACAATTACAATAGATGGATTCGCCACGGCTTCTTTGGATTCGGACGAACTTTAGACTGGCTCTGAGGTGACCGCGGCCAGCAACATTGGAAGCGCCCACTGGCCCACAGTAGAGGGACGATGACAACTTGGATGTAGAAATCGTTGATATATACCTTTGCTCCTAATAGCTTCTTGCCACTAGTAGTAAGGCCAGGAGCTACTAGTAGCTTCTTGCTACTAGCAGTGATGCCCTTTGCTCCTAGTAGCTTCTTGTTCCTAGTATACCGTATACCTGGTTTAGCAATGTCAGACCATGGAAGCTACAGTCTAGAACGGCGTCGTGGCATCGATGGGAAGGGCACGATGATTGCAACTCTGACACCAAGGTGTCGCAACTCTCGGACACCAAGGGCAGCATGCTGGTTGGGATCTTGGTGTCGCTCTGACGTATGGTGACCTATGTTGACATATGACGTGAAGATCAGAACCTGAAAGATACGCTGAACAGGATCTCCCAAGATGAACCAAACATGAATGAGGGGATGATGGAACAAGTTCCCTTGCATTCAACATTAGTGTAACAGTGTGAACTCTTGTGTTGAGCGTCAGGTCGTTCCTTTTGATACTCAGGTGAACAGGAACTTTTGCTTAACCCTGGATGAAGCCAGTACACTGCATCATTCCCACCAGGCGATTTCATATGATTTCATAGGTTCTTCCTTTTGCAGTAGGGTCTTCGCTACTAGTGGAGGCCATCGCCAGTAGGTTGGAGGCCATTGCAATTAGTAAGTAAGAGGTGGTAGCTAATACATAGCTAGTAGGGTCTTTGGAAATTGTCCAAGACCTAAACTGGCGTCGTTTTCTACTGGCCACATTGGTCATCGTCGCACTAGCTTCACAGCCTCCTCCACCAAGTCAAAGCAGCTTTCGGCTTTCTCCGCGCCGTCCAGGACTCGGTGGACATAGGGACCCTAGCGATGACTTCGGCGGAAACACTGTGTCGGACCTTTGTCTTGTCGTAGTGGAGACTTGGAAAGACATGAACAACATATTGTTCTGGGCAGGAAGGGTGTGAAGGATAAGGGATCAGGGGAACACCGGCGTACCTCATCTTTTGGTAGCACAAAGTTGCTAGGATGAGTAGGAAATCAAATCGAGACATTCTTCTGCATTCGCAGAAAATAAAGGATTGATGTCACTGCAGATGGCCTTTGGGTCTTAGAAAAGCATTACATCATGTCAGAAAAGCATTCCTTGAAGAGCTGCCAAGGCCGCGGTACCGCAACAGTGGTGCGTTTGTTCACGGGACGAAGTTTCGAAACTTTGCATCCATCATGGAACAAGGACTGAAAGGAACGGGGGATGGCGGCCATTGCTAGGTTGGATCAAGGAAACGTGAGTTGTGAGGATTGCTTGACAGAGTCTGTAGATGTAGGATGTTTTTCCATCAACACTAGCAGTAGTAGTGCAGGTTTCTGACTGGGGAAGGTGCTCTCTACGAGTGAGTGGTCTACGCAACCTATTTGATTCTGTAAGAGGACTTGTTTGCACAGTGATTCTATTTCTCGTGTAAGACTTGGAATTTAGTTTGATTAATTTAGTTTGATTTGTCCAACTTGGTATTCCAAGACAGGTTTCATGGGTCTTTGTGATCTGGCAAGACTAGGCAAATGGTACTTGCTCTGGCAAGACCCTTTCACAAGGGCAAAGGGGAGTCCAGTGGAAAAGCAAAGAGTTTTGAATTGCTAGGACTGAAGGCTGCTAAAAGTGAGATCTACATGGTTGACGATGTGCGGCCTGATGGCAGGGCCAGGTGCTCAGGCAGGTTTTGTACTCACCAAGACTGGTAGCCCATGGACAAAACTATTGAAATCACATGTTCCATGGGTCAAGTCTCTTTCACTTTAACTTACATATTATATATAGTTTTGTTATGTGCTTGTTGTGTTTTTTTGGGGGTAAGCCTTAGTGGCTTATAATAATATATATATAGATGTATAAGTAAGTAAGAATGGTAGCTACTAAGCTTAAGTAAAAGTAGCTACTGATATGGATGGATCCAAGCTTACGCAGTGGAGCTTCCTTAAAGAATCACTTTCACTATTCATTGGGTTCCTAATTTGTTTGGGAAACATGATCCAACGACTTGTGCAAGACTGTGGGGAGCTGGCGCTAAGAGTGGATCCGGACTGTCGTCCTGTTGGTCGCTGTGGATCACGGCACAAACGAGGTTCCTGGACTGAAGCAAGCACCAGAGATCTTGATTTTTATCGATGAGGACAAGGCACTCAATGCATGGGCCATGCCATGAGTCATTGATACGATTTTCCCTAGTAGCGTCCTTGCTCCTAGTAACGATGCCAGGAGCCCCTAGTAGCTTCTTGTTCCTAGTAGCGATGCCAGGAGCCCCTAGTAGTGTCCTTGCTTTTAGTAGCGATTCCTTCACATTGAACATTTTTTGTTGAACCTCTTGCTTTTCTTGTGTGGAGAGGGTAGTCCATTCTCACCCAAGAAGTCCATACGGCCAGAAGTATGGAACCAATAGAATCTATATGATCAAAGGCTTCTGCATTCCATACTATCTACCCAACATGGGATCCAAATCACCATCGTTGCAGGCACGGAAAGAGCACATGCACTTCGAGTATGATGCACTTGACCAAGAACTCTTCAATTGGATGGAATGCAGAACATTGCAGAACTGCTTCATACTGAGCAAAACTGAGAATTTGTTCCAAGGCCAGGGAAGGCACTTGGAAGACAAGAGGTATTGACGGAGTGTCCTTGCCTCAGACTGCTGTAGAGGGAAGTCCAAACCGCGATGCTTTGGACCCAGAGTCGTGTCTTTCACCAATCGGAATCTCCCAGATCGTATGAAAGACACGTTCGACGTCGCAGGATTCGTCCTTGGTTCTTCCAGAAGGTGATTGACCAACGAAGGGGTCGAGGTGAGACTGCACTTTGTCTTGGTGCCGTTGACAAAAAAGAGAGAATTGAAGAGAGAGAAGAGAGAGAAAAGAGGCCTCACATGATATCACCATCAGCATACTAAGATCCATAGAGATATCGGCGGCAATTGTGTCAACAAAGATGTCCACCGGGCAACACGTTTTTCACTTAAAACATTCCTTGTTTGGGATCGCGGCACACTTTCAGGCAGAGGCAACATCCTTTTCCAGTCCAAGGAAGATCCTCTTATGCAGGCCAGATACTGGATGAACCTCAATATTCATCAAGGCTTGATGAACACTCCGACATGTCGCCATGTTCACTGGCGATACAGTTACTCTCCTTGACATGGCTCAAGCTGACAACTCGTTGCCACAGACGTAGCCCACCACCCGCCATGGCGTCCGATGGAGAATGGGAGATGGTTGCAGAGAAGCAGGTGGAGAGCCCTCCAGAGGTCTATGATCACATCGAAAGCAATTCCTTGAAGGCTGCCTCAGTACAGGTAAACGAGAAGACCTTGTTTTACTGCTTGCAGCCCAAGGAAGCTTTGCCGAAGGAAGCGGCCCGGCTTTGCTCCTCCAACCTCAGTATCAGGTGCAACACTTGCATCAAGCGCATCCCAATCTTCGCACAGCTCGTGGGCTCTGAGGGGGAACATGTCTACCTCAAGGAGGAGTTGGATGATGCGAACGTGAAGGCGCTTCGATCAATGCGTAACAAGATCAAGAGCAGCGATCCTGCTGACTACCATTTGGTGCTGATTGATGATGAGTTCTTCCAGGCCAATCCTAAGGAGGTGGGCCCCTTCTGCCATGTACACTTCTTGAAGGAACAGGTCTCCGATGCCCAGCTCAGTGAGAGGATCAAGAAGCTGAAGAATTACCTCAATGGTAGCTTTGAGAATCGTTTCCAAAGATTGGTCGATGATCCCAATTCCTTGAAGGTGATCCTCGATGTCTTGCCCGAACTGGTGCGGCCAGATCACTGGAGGGGTGTGGTGACCTGGGCGGTGAACCTCTCAGGTGTTGCAGAGGGTCGAAAGTGGCAAGACATGGCTGTACATGAGAAGTTTCAGGTCATGGTCTATGCCATGCTCACCGGACGTGCAAGTGATTCGATCCATTTGGACATGCAGCAGGCGGGTAACTTGGTGGACTTCATGGACAGTGCCGAGAGCCGCGAAGCCTTGAAGGCCATGATGGATGACCGAAGCAACCCAGAGACCTACCAAGTCTCCCGCGTCGCAGATCGGCTGCGTGAGAATCGTGTGTCCTCCCTTTGTACAGTGACGCTCATGTGGGGCTTGGATGGAGCCCCTCACCAGTCAGACCTGGACATACACACTGTGGTGAATGGCATTGAGCTCTTCTATGGCAACCCACAGGTGGGGAAGTGCAAGCTGGACTTTGATGCCAACGCCTCCAGGATAGAGCAGAATCCTGCGGAGAACATCTCCTTGAACCAAGTGGGAACTTTTGTGATCATGGTGAACAACTACAACAACCGTGACAACAAGGATGTTCCCTTCAAGGTCACTGTCAGGAAGTCTGGCCAAGAGGTGGCGGAGCATGAGGGCACTTGGCCACGGACGCGCGCCAAGGGCAACAAGATGACGGTGTGTCAGGTCACGGTGCTAGCAGAAGACCTGGTGGAGAAGCCAGTTGAGCTGTCGGAGGCAGAGCAGAAGAAGTTGGCAGCCAAGGAGGCAGAATGGTCTAAGCTCTTCGGAGAACCAAGGGCTTTATTGGCTTCAGAGACTGACGTTGACATGCATCTGGTGAGCCGTTCGAATGGTTACCCTGCAACACAGGGAGCACAGCAGCGCTTTCAGGAGTTACTCCAACCAAAGGCGAAGAAGCAAAGCCTGGCGGAGCGCTGTAAGGCTGAAGAATTGGACGGCTTCATTGAGCGCGTGACCTCCAAGGGCTTCCCTTGTCGGCTGGAAGTCGATATCCGAAACTTCGCTCCTGCCTACATCACGCGCTTGGAAACCGCTAGCGATGTTCTCAAGAGCAACATTGTGGTGAACGTCTTCCAGCGAAAGTTTGAGGTGCCGCAGGCACCCCGGAGCGATGAGCCCAGCAGCGCTCGGTTGGATGCCAGCTGGGGCCTGCAGCCACGGGCATTGGTGCGAGGCTTTGTGAAGGTCCATGCCCAGTGGTTCATGGTGTTGGAGAATGCACGTCTTCCAGCCCATCAGGAGTGGCCCTTAGCAGGCGGGATGTATCCCACCAATCTGAAGCCCGAAGTGCACCATCATCGTAGCAAGTGGGCAAGCTTCCATTCCTTGGTGCAACCAGAGGTGTCAAGGGCATCGTCTCTCATTGGATCCATGTTGGTGGGATTCTCGAAGTTCCACTTTGTCCTGGACGGCAAGCAGGTCACGGTCAGCGCGAACACCGGCAGTGTGGCACAGTAAGCGTGGCAAAGTGACGAGAATGAAATTCACTAGTCACTAGGCCCCGGGCTGGGGGCTGTTGTTTTTTTAGTTTGTGTTGGTCATATTATGTTCTTGCATGTTCTTGCCACTTGCATCCAGCATCATCCAGCTAGTTTCCCTAACTGCTTCCTGTCCCCTTGGCCTTGGGCTATTTTGACTGAAGCCAGTTAGAAGAAATCAAGAATCGGCCCGCATTTGCCACCAACAGCGTGTGCAGTGTACAGAGCGGCAGATCGGGTTGACAGTTTCGAGTGCACTGAAGGTCTTCAAAAAGAAAGCTGGAAAGAAAGGGCGACTAAATTTCTTCGGAAATCCGCTTTCTGCAAACAGCCGCTCTAAGTACTTTAGGACGCTCCTAGAAGCTCCTGGCCGCACTAGGAACAAGAAGCTATGAACGGGGCTCCTGGCCTCGCTACGAACGGAGCGATCGGACGCTACTATATAACAAGTGCATCGCTAGTAGTAACAAGTGCCACACTACTAGGAACAAGTGCCTTACTAGTAGTAACAAGAAGCTACTAGGGGCTCCTGGCATCGCTACTAGGAGCAAGGACGCTAGTAGCTCTGGGCTGGCCGGAACGAGCCTTTGAGACGTCGAGCTTCGCAGGCTGGGAAGCTCCTGGGACCAGTGCGACCCAGGCTGGGACCACGAGAGAAAGAAGCGGAGATGAAGTCAAACTGAGTCAAACACAACACAACAGACGGTTCCCACATTCACATTCCATGCGAGCAAGCTGGAAATTCTTTGTTTGTAGTGAGGAAGGAAAACCATCCAAAAGGTAGAAATGGTAAGCAACGCAAAGGAAAAAAACAGACAACACATGTCAATGTGTGAAAACATGTGTCAAATAGAAACACACACACAGAGACACAAACAAGTTGTCCCGAGAACTGAATCTTGTTGGGTAGGCAAGGCTGAGGCCTAAAAGCCCTAAAACGTTGAGTCCACACTGAAGTCACGTTTGAAAGCACATTTAGCCGAGCCTGGATGCCCACGATGCAACATCCAATGAATTCTTGAATATAATTGTGTTTACTTAATGTCTAGGAGGCCATCGGTATTAGGTTGGAGGCCATTACCATTAGGTTAGAGGCCATCGCTACTAGAATTTTATTAGGAATTTAGATGAATTTAGTTAAATTATGTTCCTTTCAATTTTTGCATGTGTTCAAGGACATACTCGTTCTCCCATGGCTCTCCCACCAGCACCGATTGTCCATTGAAGTGGAAACGTTGTGTGGCGCTCTCAGATACCTGTTGCATGCCACCTACTGGGAGAACGTTGCCGGCATCCTGACAGAAGGCGCGTCTCATGAAGATGGATCCGGGTTCTTTTTGAATGTTGACTGTAGCTTCTTGCTCCTAGTAGTAAGGCCACGAGTGCCTAGTAGTGTCCTTGCTCCTAGTAGCGATGCCCTTTGCTCCTAGTAGCTTCTTGCTCCTAGTAGGTCCAGGTGGCACACGTGTTTTCAGTTGGACCGATTGTATGAACAAAGCGGGCTTGCAACGGCAGGTATCGTTCCAGCGAAGAATCCATTGTCTGATATCAGCAACTTGGCACTTTTCATTCCGTGCAGGTCTGTCTTGAGCATTGGGAGGGGAGGGGGGGATCTTTTGCATTGGACTGGCTTGAGCACATGTTGTGTATGAAAACAAATTGTGTGGAGCAAGGGGCATGCATAGTCATATGTCATCACCTTGTGTGGGATAAATGGCCACTTGAAATGGGATGATTTGAAATTCGTCGCCTAGAAGGGGACCAAACATGAAACGGGAGTGAAACCGGAGTCTGTCACTGCGCCCAGGAAAGCCCTTTAAGGATTTGTTGCAGGGCGCCGAGCCTGGATCTGAGAAATGACCGCGCAATGTCGCTAGCGCAATGTCGCTAACGCTGAGCGCATCCAGAATGTTTTTATGTGTGTGTGTGTGACCGACCGGTTTGGTTGCTAATATGCTAGAATATGCTAGATTGGTTTAGAGCTATGGTGCTAACCAGAAGAATCTACACTGCTGAAGGTACTCCAAGAAATATTTTTGAACCGACGAGACGAGATGCCAGATGCAATGTCAGTGTACCTTGTTGTGGTTGAACTCCGCCCCAACTGCTCCCAACATGTCGCTAGAAGTTCTGGGATTGGCTCACTGTTCACTGAGTTGTCGAGGTCTCATGTCTACACCATGCGTGACTCTTCCCACGTTTGAGCAGGGTAACGGTTGAGGCAAAGCTTCAGATCGCTGAGCAATGGAGCAAGAGTCCAAATAAGATGTCCAGATGTCCAGAGTGCCACCTTTGGAGGTTTTTTTGGTGCATCCAGATGTGAAAATAATAGGGATTCCGCTTAGGTGCTATTTAACAATTATGCTATTTCATGGTATAGATTGCTATAAGCTGCTATAAGTATGCATACGGATGTATTGAAGTGCTACAACCTACATCATATGAATATGGCTATACTAAGGAACAAGAAGCCACTAGTAAGAAGGGCATCGCTACTGGGAACAAGGACGCTACTAGGGGCTCCTGGCCTTACTACTAGGAGCAAGAAGGCTACGAACGGAGCAAAGGGCATCGCTACGAACGGAGCAAAATCGCCTCGAGCCAGGCAGCACCGACCTCGGGTGCCTTGAGTCGAAGGTGCGACGGGACGAGCATCTCAACGACGTCTCGACCGGAAGTACTGACCGGTACTGTCCATGGACTGGATGAGTGATGATGAGTGGATATGAGACCGGTAGATGCATTTCATTTCCGGTGCAGAGTCCGGTGCATTTCGGTATTTTTTGAAACATGATTTCAATCATGTTCAAAAAGCAACGACATGAACTGTTTGCTTGCACAAGTGCACTAGAGCTTGATCAACGCAAAGCCCCTTCAATCCGCCACTCACCACACTAAGGAAATCTGGATTCTATTGACTGCTTTTGGAACCAATCAAACGAAGAAACTAATCAAATGGGGTTTTGGACAATCTTGTGTCACTTGAGATTTCAAGACTTGATCATGCTCACGCTGAAAGTATGCATCTGGGCTCGAAGGACGGTGCAAAACGGTGAATTGGCATGGCATGGCATGGGAGTCATCCATGACGATTTCATCAAAGTCACTTCGGATGGCTTGAGCATTCCATGAATCATGATTCATGATTCCATGAACTAAAGAATCTTGAAAGGGCAGTGCCAGGAAGACGGCCATGGCGCCTCAATTGGTGTCCTTGGAGGAGCACACGCTGGTGTGTCGATATGTATCCACTGTGTGGCAACTCTGAAGGGATGCCCTTTGTTCCTAGTAGCGATGCCAGGAGCCCCTAGTAGCGTCCTTGCTCCTAATAGCGATGGCCTTTGCTCCTAGTAGGTCTTGCAGGTCGGTGACGATCCTTTGGACAATGCAACGGTGAAACCGGTAAGATGATCAGATGGCTATCTCGGGGTGTCATTGCACACTTTGCAGGTACAACAATTGGTTCCGAACAAAGGTTAGACATTTGCATAGCACTTGCACAGCACTTGTGTTACCTGCATGCTCCTGTATGATCGCTGACACTTCCCTGTTCACCGGCCCACCAACGGGCAACACGGTGACACATACAGCGGCACAGGAGGCTCGAGCGCTGGGCCTCGGTGTGGCGAAGAGCACCAGCGCAGCCTCGGAGTTCGAAACCGAACGGGAAGGGCTGAAGGCTTTCGGCGTGGAGCTATCGAAGGAGAGAAGTCCATTTCAAGTCGAGTCCAAAAAAACGACACAAAAAAGCGACTTTCCATTGACATAAACATAGTTCCAAGGAGAACATGTCAAACGCATTCAAAAGCGCAGTACATTTTCTGATGTTCTTTTTGCACAGAGATGTAGGGTAAGTCTGCAGAGCTAGTAAATGAAGAGCCATGCTTTCCTGTGTTCTTTTTGGAGGACAAGCATATCAACATCCACAAACCCTTTTGAAGCGGAAAGAAGCTCTGAAATTTATCATGCTCTTTTGTCCCAGTGTAGCAGGACCACTTGGAAGGCTACAAGTACAAGTTGGGCTCCAAAGTCGAACGAGACCTGAACTTGGTGAAGCGTCCGTGGGAGGTCCCGATCATTGACCAGCTGGGTCCAGAAACAGTGCCTTGTAAAAACGGGGGAAAGAGCAGGTAGGAGGCAAGGCTGCGGCGACGAGGTCAATATTTTGATTCTTTTGAAATTATAGTTTGTGAAATAATCCCAGGTCACCAGCTAGGTCATGAAGGCTGTTCCAATTTGTAGGCTGGCAATGAAAGCAGTAGAGTTGGGTTGCAGTTTCGGTTCCTTGCCATTGTTTGTCTTTCGAAAAGATGAACGGCACCAGTAGAATTTGGTTGTGCAGTTCGGCAGAATCGATCACTACATTCCATAGAAGGCCAACCAACAACGTGTTTCCTTATGGGATGCCTGGCTAAACTTCAAAGAATAATCTGCATCAACGACAGTTTGCCGCTGTGCGTTGACAACATGTGTTTTTGCACAGCTAGTTGAATCGGACAGTTTCACTGGGCAAAAAGGCTGACACGAAAGAGCTGTGTGATGTTCATCTCAGGTCTGTGTCTTTCACTGTCCGCTGTGCGTCGTGAGGTGAGCAAGAACAAAGATGTCGAGACCTGGGATAATCCCGAGTTCCTCCTGGAGATTCGAGAGGGCATCGCCTACTGCACGCTGAATCGACCTGATGCCAATAATGCGATGAACGATGGTGCCTGAGTTTGAACGAACGTGCAATCCTTTTCAAGTCGTAAAAAGACGGTTCCACCAAGCCATCAAGCAAACGTGTGCTTGATTTGGGAGTCTCACTTTCTACCAAAAAATTGTAAATTACAATACTAGGCATCTTTTTGTGCTTGTTTGGCTGATCAGCTCACCGAAAGAGCTAGATCCCTTGGCTTTCAAGGAGAATGCCAGATGTCCCAGCACCGTATGGCAAGAAGACGACTACGTTCTTTTGATGTCCATGACTTCACATATTCACAAACAATCAGTTGAAGACAATACTATACTGTTCACAGAATTTCACAGTGGTGGTAGCTGTTGAACCTCTTACAAATTCATTCTAGGTACACCCTTGAACCCTCATGAACCCATACTATTTCTTACTCAAACCGCCACTACACACAAGTCAAACCTCTGGCCCATTTGTGTTGAGACTCTTCATGCAGGCATTGGTGGAGGCCTCCACGATGCACTTCGAATCCTTCGAGAGCGACCAGAAATTCGGATTGCTGTGTTCACCGGCAACGGACGAATGCCGCTTGGAGGAGTTGCAATTGAGGTTTTGTAGTTCGACACATGCCCCCCTTCACAAGATAGTTCTTTGGGTTCTGCGCTCACCAAAAAGATCGGACAAGTTGTAGGGTGAGCATATGTGAGCATAGTCAGAATTATAGTCAATATCAGGTCCAGGTATGTCAATATTTATTTCAATATGTCTAAACATGTCCGAGTCTGAGTCTGAGAGCTGGTATGGACCGTGGCTATGAGGTTCTGTGCTGGAGGTGATCCAAAATCCTTCCAGGCTGCACAAAAGATGGCCGGTGCCATCAGCGGCGATGGTGACAAGTACCAGGGGCCTCCAGCAGGCCCTATGATTGCCGGCACTGGGACGATGATCGTAGAGGGCAATAAGATGTCAGCCCAAGGCTTTGCAAGGGCTACTTGCAGTAACTTCAGACATTTTCAGTGTTTTTCAGGGGTCAAATGGAGTCAAAGGATCGAACCGGAATCGTACACATCACAGAATTTTGGCCGGACAGGTCATGTTTGTCAGCACTGTTCACAGAGGCTTTCTCCTTGTGTCCAGCAAATCTAAGGATATGTATTCCATGTCGAGCTTGCCCCAATTTACAATTTGTTTGATGAACGGGTCCGCTATGGGTGGTGGATTCGGATTAGTATGTGCTTGCGACTATGTCATTGCCACCAAGCAAGCCCATGCGACCTTGTCGGAAGTGAAGCTAGGCGTGATTCCGGCAGTGATTTCCCCACATGTGAGCAGGACCATTGGCACAGCCAATTGCAACTTGGAAAGAAAAGCTAGCACGTTCTATATGTTCGTATCATATGTTATTATATAAGTGCTTCAAAATGTGACTTGGAAGGCAAACGGCTCTTTTGCACGGCCGAGAACGCCAACATGCAAACGGCCATGGAGATTGGATTGGTGCACAAGATCGTCGACCATCCGAGAGACTTCCAGGCAGCGGTCAGAGAGGTGGCCACGAAGATCCAGCTGTTGGCGCCTGGAGCCGTTGGAGCCACCAAGCAGGTTCTCTTAGATTGCTTAAATCAGCCCATCAGCAACAGCTTGATTGAAGCTCGCTTGTTGAACACCCTCTTTTTTCTGTGTAGGCCGAGAGTAGAGGTAGGTAGTTAGTAGCCAGGTAGCTAGTAGCTTACTCAAGCTACTAGTATGGACGCAGGATAGCTCACGCTTGGTTCCTAGACTTTTGGGGAAACTTAACTAATAGGTGGGAACTCACGGGTATTCAAGCCCACAGCAGAAGGCTTTTGACTGGCAACCCACTCCAATGGTGGTAGTTGGTAGTTCCTGTGACATGCTCAATGAAGAAATGCTATCAGCTCTGGCTTTCCTTTGTGCTGAGATAGGATGCATGACCCGGGATACACCATGTGTTACGCCTATAGTCTGGAGCACAAGAATCACTGAGGAATATACAGCCAAAGAGTATTTGCGTGTTCGCAGGGGCAAAGAGTGCGAGGAAGGTATGGAGGCTTACAAAAACAAGCAGCGGCCACCTTGGGTCCAAAAGGTAATCGATGTCAAGGAGAGTGAGGAGAGCTGAAGGGAAGCTTGTGGCCAACCATGTGGCCTGTTTGGGGGCCAGCAGGGTGGGGCCGTCACGGATAATTGAAGCAGAAGAGAAGTGCATGGCCCGTAGATCCAAAGAAGAGCTGCGATTCATTCGATGATGCGAAACAAACCATGCGAGTCTCATTACTGTAGTCGGCCCCACCCAGCAGTCTTCCTGTCCAAACTTGCTGGCAAAGACAAGAGCCTGAAAAAGATGTGCGGACCTTGCTTCTAACATTTCTGAGGCATTTCCTATAGGAGATGTTTCAATCTGAGACCCTTCCCAGATGGGACGCGGACGGATAGTGTTCACTTCCGGAATCCTCTTCTAAGCTTAACGGCATCGTGCAAGCCAGGTTGTGCCGCAGAGTGAGGCTGGTGACGCAGTGGGGAACTGCTCTCGAAGATGGATCATATTGGGAGAAATGGGTCATAGTGGGAAGCTGGATCCAGGGACAAATCTGTAGCTCGTGGAAAATGAGACAAAGGCCTTCTTTGGAAAACGATCGACGTTCTTTGCAAAGGGAAAGGCATCATTTCTCTATTGTTTCACTTTCTGGCGCAAATCCGGTCCAGCTCAACGAACTTCAGATTCAGATTTCCGATGCTAGTGGTTCACATCCTCTCGTTTGCAGCATGTTTGCAGCATTAGAAGGATTGTTTATGAAGAATGATATAGTATGAAACCTTTTTGTTCAATTAACCGGCGTAGAACATGGGTATGTTGACAAGGAATAGGAGGGTGCAAGGTCCTCACTAAAGTGGTGTCAAACTGCTCAGCGACGTCACTAGGTGGTAAGCTTCATAGAACCTAATAATCCTAATAGCGATGGCCTCCAACCCAATAGCGATGGCATCCAGGTGGTAAGCTTCATAGTGGACAAGGAGCAAGTCGGCCTCGATCGACAACCTGATGCCATTTTCGACACTCGCCTGCAACAGCAGCTGTTCAACAGCTCTTCATTCCAAACTTCCCACCTAACTGGGGAGTGTAAGGCCATTGCGATGCAAGGGTTTGCTCGCAAATTAAATGCTTTCACCACAGTTCGCAGGTGTTCTGCGCATTTGAAGGAGAGTCTTATTTGGATTTATTTGGAGCCTGGAGTGCTCTTACTTGCCAACATACACGTGCTGACTAGCCAAACGGCGATGTGTAGAAAAGCATCAAAGCCCTTGGCATCCACACGCAGCATAGTTGACAGCAATCAACATGTCACAAGAAGCCCCTGAACATCAAGACTTGATTTTCAGGTATGCTGAACATAGGTGTCCAAACATGTTAGTACAACGCAGCTCATGTCCCAAATATGAGTCAAGGGCCAAGCAAATGTTTCTTCCTGGGCAAATGCTTGCAAGAAGGCCACTGTTGCATATGCATAATGCATAGCCGCATAGCCAAGGTCATTGATACCAGCAAAGCCGAGAAGATGGGAATCGATCTTGAGATGGCTGATGCCTCAGTTCTTATCGCCCTTTGTATCTACCGCAGCCTTTCCTCCTTCCTTATGACCTGTTGATGTTCTCTATGCATTTTCAGGGGTCACTTCAGGATCCAACTTGTGGCACTGAATGACACAGCCAATCAAACGCTATGGATGCAAGAGAGAAAACGAATATAACAGAGAGCGCGGTAGAGAGAGCGGATTCTCAAGCAAGATGTCTCGTCCAAAGGTCCAATCAGGTGATGACCGTGAGGACAATATCTATGTCCGAGGCGAATCCGAAATTGTGATCGTTGTTCATTGACGGCAGAATCGATTTCACCCGAATTGAAATCGACCTGGAGAGCTAAACAGCAATCTCTCGTCTCTATGCAAACCTGAAGTGAATCGAGATCTTCTGGTCAGTGATCCAGCTGAAACAACCCAAACCAGAGATGTTCCCTTGTTTTCGGATGGAGACGGTTCTGGCAAAAACGAAGCTTTTTGTTGCGCCAGCGGCGCTTTCTCGGCGAGGCCGGATCCCTGCCGAGATCCTGACAGCTCAGCCGAACATACCGAGGAATTTGCCAGACACACTCAAGGCTTGGGGACTGGAATTATATGGATGGTGATGTTGGTACTAGTAGCGTCCTTGCTCAAGGTGCGAGTAAATGTGTGCAAGTTATGGCAAGTTTACTCAGCTGAGAAAGATGACCCCACGAGATTGAACTGGAATAAACTAGTAGTAACAGGTGCCTTACTAGTAGTAACAAGAAGCTACTAG